TGATTCAATGTTAATCAATGATTCAACGTATGTCACACAGAATTTTAATAAGTTTTTTAACTGTTAATAAAAACATTTCTTAACTGAAGGGGTGTTTGTGGAGATTTTAGTAATTTTATGTAGTTAAAATCATGAGTCAGTTGAAGCTAGACCACCACTGAAAACCTGGAAGCATTGGACGGAGATTTCATCCTATTGCGGGACTTCTCAGCAATGCGCATCCACGATCCCGTCTTGCGAGATTCGAACTCAGGACCTATCAGTTTCACGCGCGAGCGCTTAACCACCCCTTCGGAGAATAATCATATGCTCACTAGTGACTGGCTTCAAGAAATAATTCCTGAAGTTCTAGTGAGAAGCAGTAACCAGTAGAGTTCAACCAGGTCTGTTATGAGATATCAACTCAATGAAGACAATGGTGGACAGTTGCTCAAGTTAGACAATAACACCGTTGGATGCCGGCTCAGTGGTCTAGTGGTTAAGCGCTCGCTCGTGAGGCAGGATCGTGGATGCGCACTGCTGAGGAGTCACAATAGGAAGGAATTGTCGTCCAATGCATCCAGGTTCTCCATGGTGGTCTAGTTGCAATTGACCCATGATATCAACTATGAAAATATTTCTTGTTATCCAAAACTTCAACAACTCAGTTCAAGTATGTCTAAATACTTTGTGACATTTTTAATTGTTACTTTACTTATAAGCAAAATAAGTTTTTATGTTTATATGATATTTTTAAAATTTAGTTAATTCTTAATTTATCAGACTATATCCTACAGTGCATTATGTATTCGAATTCATGACCTCTAACTAAAGTTGTTGAACTAAGAGTTGAACTAAGAGTAACTAAGAGTTGTTAAAAATCACACTGAATTTTAGTTTTCATTATATTAGCTACATTTGGTAAATTTAGATTCGATTCCTTTCAGAATCTATCATGATTGAAGCATCCACTGTGAAGCTGTAGATGATAAGTCTGATAGAATTAAGTCATGACTGGGTAGTGACTTTAGAGAGACATACCTCTACACGTTATATACCCATATATTTAACCAACTATTTAGTACTGAAAACTGCTTCTTCGCTGGTTTTTACTTTAAGTAGTGTCAATGTAAACTGTTATTAGTGATATCTGTGTCCTCAATAGATGACCATACCTTGAGTACCTACTTTTGGTTTAATTTTTCAAATTTCAGGCTTCAATTACATCAAAACATACTTAACTATTCTGTTCAGATTGTATTTTTTAACAATTTTTTTCAATATTTCAATGGTATAACATAGAGTTTATCCAAATTAATTTAAAAAATTAATCTAAAATTTCCACTTTAGCGGACATGGAGTTATTTTTATGAAATTACAATGTGATCAAATAAAAAAATATTAAGATTTCATAATGTTGATCTATCTATTCAACCTTTAGACCACTGAGCCGACGTCCAACGGTATTAATGTCTAACTTAAAAAAGAAAATTTTTAGCACTGAATAGATGTTCAAAGTTCAGATCATTATACCGATTTGAATGTGTCGGTTTTCGGTATATGGCTAGACTTGGACTAACAAATTATCACCTATTACGATCCGAATTGTTCAGTGAAAAAAAATTATAAACTCTGCTTCTTTTTTTCACTAATTCAATACACTGTATTAGATAATTTGTTAAATTTAATAAATTATTTTAGTATTACTTACTTACTTACTTACTTTTGCCTGTTACTCCCAATGGAGCATAGGCCGCCGCCTGTAGCTCCTCTGGGGGTTGCTGCCGGTCCCAAGCCCGGGTAAAGGAGGAGGGTTGGGCATGGGGTTAGCGACCCCATCCCGTAGAAAATCAACTCGCTAAAAAAACGCTAACCAGAAAAAATCATTCAAATTATTTTAGTATCCACATTACAAAATTATATAAGTAGTATATTCGCATAGTAATGTTATTATTTGTATAATTCATTCAAAGAAAATAAAAGTCAGTTTATAAAAAGCCTTTCTTTATACTATACATGATATGTAGATGACTGTTAAAGTGTTTTTACATATATGCATGCTTCTGGTGTGGTGTTGGCTACTTATATCCTCATAAGTAGTATATAACGATGGTCGGGCATTGAATGTATTTCAGCAGAAGATCGATAAGGAAAGAACAAAAACGAAACTCAATTGGTATGAAAATGCATGTACACTAATTGTCGGAGACTATGGACTGATGTTTGCAGAAGGAAAAGTCAAGATTGAGACAATTGTGTGATAGTTTGCAAATAAACTGTTTACTGTATGGTTGTCAGATTTTAATGAGATAGTCTGTAATTTTCGTGTCAAATACATTCAACTGTTCTCATTCACTACATCAGTAATACATTAAATTTAAACCTGTATTAGTATGAATAATTCATTTCCAGTATATCCATCACAGTTTGTAAAATTAACAATTTTATTTTCAGCGAAAATAGAAACTTTCAATAGTTGATATCATGAGTTAAATGAAGCTAGACCACCATGGAAAACCTGTTTAATTTCAGTCCTTCCAAGTTTTTCAAGGTGATCTAGCTTCAGTTGACTCATGATCTCAACTATTAAAATGACTATATTAACCACAAAACCCCCTTCTGAAAATAGAAACACTTAGGAAATAATTTGGATCATTCAATAATCAATGTAAAAAAATGAAACCATTTGTGAAAATAAATTATTAAAAAAATTCCATATAAAACATTCGATATAATTTACTTAAAAGAGGATCAAAAAAAAAGAATTAAACATCTGTTTTATTTAATTCTAAACATTTGGATTCATTCCATTTCATGTTTCCATGTTTTTGTTTGGTTACCATAGCAACATGAGAGGTAACATTTTAAATCATTATGATTATTGTTAAGACTAAGATTTTTGTATAATCTTAATGTGAATTTCATTTATTAATAACATATAGCATACATTTCATATAGATTCTGAATAGAATCAATCTTAAGTCTTTTTTTTAGTTTTTATTATATTTGATATTAGTTGACTGGTTATCAATGTATCTTATTTACACTAATCATCGTATTCATTTATCATTCGTTTTTATCTTTATCCCTATGTCATCTGTGTCTCTATGTTTTCTATTACAAGTATCGTTTTCATGATTATAAAAGTAATTATATATTGTATTGATACATTCTTGTACAATCATCTATTAAAACTGTATAAACTTGTAGGCGATTAATAAAAGTACTATTATAAGGAACGAGAACAAAAGTGAGAGCAATCGAATGTATTTGAATACAAAATTACAGAATGTCTTAGTAAAATCTGAGGACTATATAGTAAGTATTTCATTTGTAAAATATTAATCAATTGTCTCCGACTTCATTGTTCTTTCGTTCTCATACTAATCATTCTCTGTTCTCATTCTCTCTTCTTCGATCTTCTTAATCTTCTGACACTAGAGATTTCACTTTCGATTAATGATACATACTATTTATATCTGTCGACATCGGTAGCACACACCATACCATGTTTCTTGTGTTAAGTGAATAATTAATAACTTTTTTTGTAAAAATAGTGTCAAGTACATCCGCTTGAGTTGATGGAGTAATATTATTTTTTATATATAGTTGAAATCACGTGTTAATTGAAGCTAGACCACCATGGAAAACCTGGGAGAACTGGACGGTCGTTTCGTCCTACTGTGGGACTCCTCAACAGCGCGCATCCACGATCCCGCCTCGCGGGATTCGTAAATGATAATGATGATAAATAATTAAAGTACAATCCATAATTTCATCATAATATTTTCAAAATATTTAACTCAGAAAACTACTTCAAATTGAGATTAAGCTATTCAGCTTTATATTTATAATATTTCGTTAAATTGATAGATTTTGCTTGTTATTGATCACTTGAGTACAATCATGATTAACATTTGAGAATCTGTCTGAAAGCATTTAAAATTACAAACAATATTTACATATTGGAATAGTAACACACAACTTCAAAGTTAAGTAAGTGTTAATTAACATATATTATAATCTTCTCTGAATGTTAATTTGACTTTAAAGATACCAAAATTAGGTACTATGACCTTAGACACAATTATATTGAGTTGTGATCAGGATGTGAATCCTACTGATAATTTTCATGAATGGATAATTTATTCTGAAGAAGCATTGAGATCTAGTTAACAATGAATATACTTTCAATCTTTGTTTGAGGCATATAGATATTAGTATCCGTTCATTATACTACAGACTGTTAAACTGTAGGATTTTTGAAAAAAAACCGGATGGCAGTTGAATGTATTTAAGCACAAAATTACAGACTATCTCACTGAATTCTGATAACCGTACAATGAACAGTTAATTTGCAAAATAACAACCAATTGTCTCAATCTTAACTCTTCCTTCTACAAATATCAGCCCGTCTTCTCTGATTTCATTGTTCATGCATTTCATACCGACTGCGCTTCATTTCAGTTCCTTTCTTATCGATCTTCTGCCAAAATACATTCTATGTCTAACCATCGTTATATACTACTTATGTGGATATAAATAGACCACACCACAGTAGAATTTTTAATTGGATCATCTATGTAATATTTTCAATCATGTGACTAATACATTTTAATGAACCCTTGTCAGTATTTGATCGTATCAACAGAAAGAATAATTAAACTCATTTAGTATTGTTTGTTTGAATCTTTCCATCGATGTGTTAGGACTACAACTGGTCAGTCTCTGATTGGCATATGTGGCCGAGTGGATAGCGCGTTGGCGCTTGAAGCGAGGGTACTGGGATCGAGTCCCAGAGTGAACATCAACTCTAAGATGCAGGTACATCCAGCTGACGAGTCCCAAATAGGACGAAATGCGCGTCAAACTGAATTCTACTGCTAGCCACTATCCATCTCTGCTTAGAAAGAATAATTTTCTTTTAAGAATAAAATATGTACTACAGCTTATTTTAATTATCCATATCATCTTATAAAATCCAATCAATGTTTTTTCCAAATATTTTATTTCATTTATAGACACAATCTGGTAGTCCATCAGAAGGTATATTACAAAGTGGTGATGAAATTTTATCAATTAATGGAGAAAATGCACGAATTTTAAGTCATGAAGAAGCAACACAAAAAATTCGTTCTGCTGGTACTGATCTACAATTAACTGTAGCAAGGTAAATATGGATGAATAATGCACACCTTAGATCATTTGTTACTTTTTTAAAGAAAATAACTGTACGAAATTGTTCACACTTCATGTATTGCGCTGAAAAGTTACATTGTCCTGCAGTATTCCTTATTAAATTACTCTCAAATAAATATAATAGTAAGAATACACATAGTAATCAGGTAAATATCTTGTGAGAAAATTAGTGGAACAAAGAAAGTTCCTTCGGATTCATTCATTCGTTGTAGTTATGTAACCGTAGATCGACATTAAAATAATGATGCTAAACGATTTGTACTTAATAGATATTTTTACAGAATGAAATAAATTCAGGTTTCATGGAAAACTAAGAAATAGATGGTGGTTGTTCTGTTCACGTATGGTAGTCCTAAGTGGTACCAATTCACTAGGAAGACATCACCGATGATGCTAAAATGTCGTTGCGTTTTAAGATTAAATGATTCAGATTTAGAAATGGAATTCTACCTGGACAGTCAATAAAAAACTATATGAAATGTAAAAGTCCTGGATCCGTTTGACAGTGAGGTATTTGTTGCATACCGATAAAGGGTTTCACAAAAGTATGGAACAACTATATAATGTTCATGGTTTTTAACGAGACCCCAAATAATGTCAATATTTCACGAAAAGCACCCGCAAATTGAAGTAATCTTCACTAAAACTACACTAATATCTTAACAAATATAAATAAATTATACTGATAGTGTATTGCTTGTGTATAGACTTATAATTCCAATTAAAACGACAAAAACACAAAATTCAAATCGAAGGATCTTGTTTCAATGAATTTATTATCAAGCTGTGCAATCGTAAATGTTTATTCAATTGTATTGATTCTATGAGGAGATTTCAACAGTAGATAAACATGATTATGAAGTAGGACGATTATGATAATATGTTATATGGTGTCAATAGCAACAATAAATGTTGCTCAACTTCTACAAGAGGTGTACAAATAAAATAGCGATGTTAAATCCATAAACCTAAATTGGATTGTAATGTGAGTGTTATATCTTTTAAGAAGTTATAGCATTTAGTGTTAGCTATGCGTTGAAAGTACATTGTTTGCTTAATATAATCTTGTAGAAATAGGCTACAATGAGTTTCTCTGTGGGCCTCAATAGTTCGCAGAGACAGTCTAATTTCTGTAACAGTTAAGTATAAATTCAAACGTAACTATTCTGTATAATTTTGTATAATCCATCTACTAGAACACCTTAGTTACTACGACTCCCAACAGTGTTAAAGCATAAAATGCAGTACGAATTATTCGGAAATATCACGTTTCAGAGATGGTAATAAGCACATGACAGTAGTAGGGAAGAAAATGAACTGCTTTTTGTTGTAGTGAATGATGTTATGTAGGTTGTTGTAGTAATCAATCATGGTTTACTATGTGGGTATATACAATTCATACGTTTAATGGATAGGCTAGACAAACAGGGAAACAAACAGTCAGATTTATATTTAAAAAATTTACATGGATAAAAGCTAGTCAATAATCATCAGAATAAGTACGAAATAGTTAATAGGATCAAGATAACACATTTAATAATCACATGAGTTTTCAGCCTTATATCGGTTCAGGTAATAATGGGACTGTGTAGGTGTATAATCTAGGTGTGTTACAATCTACTTCATCACTTTCAGTCATTCACTAATGACGTAACGATGAATTGAAAAAATTTCTTGATTAAATTATCTATATTAAGAAAAAAATTAAAATTAATTCAAATGATTTATCGAATATATTTTGAACAGTCCGTCTTTCAACTCTTCTTCTGAATGGTACCTAACAAAGTGATATATAAGAAGAGTACCTTAAGTTTACAGCCCCACTGATGTAACCACGTGTTTAAAAACTGAAAATGTATCATATCCAATTTAATACATAACCAAATATTATACTGATCTTCAATTGTTAGACTTTCTATTTGATAAGGTCAAAACAATATCATTCATTAATTTTGATTGCAAAATATTGACATTCGAACGGCTATATTTGAAAGTCATGCAGTACTATTACCTAGACTAGCGGCCATATTCTAACTTGATCGATAGAATCCTATCTGCAAGAAGGAGGACCTGACTCACATAGCATTGGTCACTACTCAGTGATCAAGTAATTATAAATACGTCCTAGGCCTACATGAAGTCAATCGCGGCCCGGATAGCTCAGTGGTATCATCTGTGACTGTACACATTGGCGATGAGTGCAAAATAACACGGAACCTATGTTCAGAGTTTCCTGTCGATTACCTTCAACCAATACCTTGTATACAATATTGTATGTGTATTTCATTTCACGTTTTAGTAAAATTCTTGCGATTCTATCTAATAGGCATGAATATTCTGTTGAATTATTATAACCAGTTCCAGTTTTTGATATTTACAATTTCAAACGATTTAATTATTACTTATTTGCTTACACATGTTACCCTTGTGGAGCATAGGTCGTCGATCAGGGTTCTCCAACCAAATCTATCCTGGGCTCTACTTTTCAGCTTTTTGAAAAGTACTGTTCATTCTTTTGATATCTGTCTACAGTTTCAAGTGAAATATATATTTTGGTCTGCCTCTTTTCCTTTTGCCTTAAGAATTCCAAGTTAAGATGTGCTTTGTGATGCAGTTTGATATTTCTCGCAATAAATGTCCTATCTTTAATTTTTGAATGTCTTGTAATACAACGTCATACAATAGGTTCACTTACCTCTTTGAGTTACTTTTAGTAGCATCAAGTTCATGCGATTAATTTGTTAGTTCACAGTAAACAGCCCACAAATGAGAGAACTACTACTTAGTAGAAAAACCATGTCAACAAAGAGTACAAAAGGAATGTGTTCATTTTTGTGTGTATAAGTTTTGACTGGAATTGGTATAGATTACTTGAAGACTATTTTATAGACTGCATTTCTGCCTTGGCATTCTTTTAAATATTGGCTTGGAGTAAAATTTAGAACTTATGTTCCAACCTACGTAGCACTCATCACCCTATAGCCTTTGTATTTTACTGTCGACATTCGTTTCGAGATTCGCTCCTCAAACATGTTTTAAACTACAGAATAATGTCAATCTAACTATTAACTCTCGAATACATTTGTTTACCCAACGGGTAAGATATTTTTAGTATATTTGCATTATCTCGGGATGCAGAACTCAAGACACATATTCTGTTCTATTTGAAACGTATCGGTTGAACGGGCCTACACCCTAGTGTTCATATCTCACTGAGACTCGAACCAAGTATTTGTCATTTTAAAACGCTACTGCTTTATCCAATAAGATACTAATTTCAAATACACACTTACTTGTACAGTGATTATGTTGCTTACCTGTAAGGGATCGTGTTATACAGTTATTGGCATTTAATACCATATTTTGGTAAATTTTTGTTAACACCAGTGAATTCTAATCATAAACATTGACAGTGTCAGTCTGTTACAAGTTTTGGTACAGAAAGAACCACGAATCCAGGATTCCACTGCTAATCACAATACAACTACGATAGAGCCTAAAAAAATAGCAGTATCATTGTTTATACTTACGACATCGAAAGTGAATGGTGAAAATTCTGTTCTGAATATCAGTAAATGTTCAATACAAACTTGAACGCATAAATCATGATATTTATGTCGAATAATCGTGGTTCAAGATTATCAGATGTCAATAAAAACTAAACAACTCAGACCTACATACCTAAAACCATGTAATTTACACTGAAAAATCACCGAATACAATTACATAGAAAAAATTGACAATGATGACTGCCTTTATTCCGTATTTGATTACATAAAAATCCCATAGTTTAAGGAAATTTGTAAAATTTTGACAATAGTATGATTTTGTTTTTAAATCACACTTAAATTTTACGATGTGAAAATATCTTTTTTTCCGAAATTTAACTTTTTTTACAGTTAGCAAATAGATCATGCAAAGTAATTTACTAAAAGAAGGAGGTTTTGTGTAAATTTTAGTAATTTTATAGTTGAATTCATTAGTCAATTGAAGCTAGATCATCATGGAAAACGTGTAAGCATTGGACGGCTGTTTCGTTCTAATATGGGACTCCTCAGCAGTGCGCACTCACAATCCCGCCTTACAAGATTCGAACCCAGGACTTATCAATCTCACGCACGAGCGCTAAAAATATGACACTTTCAATAATAGTTTTAAGATGTAAAAATATCATTTTTTCCTAAATTTAATTTTTTTCACTGTTAGTATATAGATCATCCAAAGTAATTTACTAAGAGTTAAATTTGATGTTATAACATATAAAACAGAAATTTTACACTGATAAATATTATTCAACAATCGTGAACTATTCTTATTGGCAACACTCATTCAAGAGCCATGCGCGGGGAAACCTCATTGGATTTCCAATTAATTAAGCTATTAACTATTGAGGAGTATATGATTATTCAGTTTATTTAAACGAAAGGAACTGAACTATTTATCTCTTTCTGTTTACTTTTATACAAAATTTTAAGTGTAAGTTAAGTGTCAATTTTTTAAATAGGTCGACTAAATAATATAAATTAAATGAATAAAAGAATTTTGACTATTGTAAATAAAAGATTATTGTAAGCAAAGATGGATAGTGGCTAGCAGTGGAATCCAGGACACGCGTTTAGTCCTATTTGGGACTCGTCAGCTGCATGTACCTGCATCGAGTCCCAGAGTGAACATCAACTCTGAGATGCAGGTATATCCAGCTAACGACTCCCAAATAGGACAAAATGGGCGTCCTTGATTCCACTGCTAGTCACTATCCATCTTTGTTTATAATGCTTGTGAATTAAGGCTATATCGAGGCAATACGCACATTACGGACATATGCCAATAAGAGAATGATCAATTGCAGTCCTAAACATCAATACGAAGATTGAAACGAACAATACCAAGTGAAAAGATTATTGTATTTTTAGAAATAAGAGCCTTGTAAAGTTCATTCAACTTAAAGATAGTTTTTATTACAGACTGAGGTTAACTAGATGACTATTCAATATCAGAGGCTGCTTTATTTTACTATAGGACGCTTTACTAGTGCTCCTCTACGCTTTTGAATGCCAGCTTAGTAGAATTTCAAGTATAAAGGAAGCAACCTCACCATGAAATCTGATTAACCCAGTTTCTATGACTAATAATCTTTAAGCTGCATACTGTTGTGAAATCTAATGCTAAGGGATATCAATGCTCTATATTGCCCTCTGGATTTCAATTTTTTCACTAACTTAAGTCAGTTTGTTTGGCAAATCATTCTATATTTTTGTTATCCAGTATCCAATTTCAATGGATTATTATTTCATTCAAACATTGGATAATTTTGTTATTTTTTACAATTTTTATAATTCAATGGTGCACATGGGCTGCAGTATCCTGAGGGAACAAATGGAGTATAAATCAGTCGTTGGCCACCAGCTACCATGGGACTGCATCTCCTTACGATGATCCATTGTCTTGTGGATCAAATCTTCAGGTCAAAGGCTCTGAGTGTGGCCCCTTAAGAAAACCACCTGCTTCGGTTTGATCATCCGGGCTGTATCACAGCCCTCACACAAATGAAATGAGATTTGTGTGGCGCATATATATCTGGTGTTCGATTGTACCAATATTTATGTGTTTAAATAAATAAATAATAATAATTTTTTATAATTACTTAATCTTTGTTTTGTTTTTGTTTGTGAAATTTTTTTAGAAGACAAACATGTGATCTAAGTGATATTCGACCTAAAGGATTATTGAAATTCACAGCTCCACAGAACAATAGACGTTAATTTGTTGTTTGTTTTGCCCAATGATGTAATCAGTTTCAGTTTCAACTTACAAATATTCTTCCTTTTTGTCTTCTTTTGTTTATTTCTTCGAATTTTCTGTTACTGTATATCACATAGATAAATGATAGTTTGAATGGTCTTCATTTGTTGTCATTAATGTTGAGAATCATTGTTCATTGTATTCATTGTTGTTAGTTTGTAAAAGGGTATATGTTTTTGATGTGTTATTTTAATGTTATGACAACAGAAAACCCTATTGAAAATATGCAAACATCAAACTTGTTCATATGAATTTAGTATAAATATATTAGATTTAATATATCTTATTTTAATCATAAGAATATGAAATAACCGGTATATTGAATGATTAAGACGCTGACCTCCTTCCAGATGAAATAAAGTGACGGGAAATATGAGATAAGTATACTTTCATAGTATGTGTAACAAATGCTAGTCATAACATTAGATTTCTGAAAACTATTCAAAAACATGTTGACATCGATGAAAATGTTGGTAATTGATCAGTTGGATAAATGAAGAACACAATGAGTCAGCTACCGGGATTTTCTAGTTTTATGATGTTGTTGATTGGTTAAAAAGAATTATGGAGAATTCTCTTGAGCAACAGATTTACTCATCAATGGTTGACTGACCTACCAATCAGTATATATTGAAACAATTAAAACAAAATGTAAAAATTCAGTGGTAATTGAAACTATTTATTATTTAGCAACACTTACCGTTTGACTAGAATGTCCAGTTTTTGATCTATCCGATAGACACTTTTCTATAGGAGCTTTTCCATGTTATATGTGGTTGAATTTGAGTTAGTTATTTTGGGGGCGATCCTGAAAATTTATCGCAATAGAAATGACAAGCTTAGGAAACATTAAGATGCAATTAATCCGATCAGCGTTTGATTAGAAGTTTTGCTAGAAACACCACGAAAATGAAAAGTCACATATAAAATTTCTGATTGACTGATTATTACACTGTTACTATGTTTAGTAGCATTCTAGAATTTTCAGGAAAACCCAAGGACTTCTAAAATACTATAAAAACCCTATATTTTCTGTACATAAATGAACTTTTGGAGTGAAATACTTCTCGCATATTTTGTGCCTTTTCTCTTGTGTTCAAGTCGATGTGTAGTTCTAGCTTGGGGGTTACGAGACTAGCTTAGGATCCAAGTATAGCGTTCAATCAGCAAGACTTATCAAGTTATTTTTTTAAAGTACATAACTCTGACGGTTTATTAACCTTAAGAGGAGTTCTGTCATGTTTTGTGTTAAGGCATAGTCTTTTCAAATCAGGTGTATATGTTTTATCGTGTTTTATTATGACATATTGAACTGCTGACAAAATTTTGTTGAAATATATATCAATGATTATAAGTCTATTTGGAGTTGCGTCAGATATCACAGCAGTTATTAAAAACTTATGTTTTAAGCTAGAATATATGTAATACCTTGAATCCTACACAGTATGGTCACTTTAAAATGAATATTGAACCCAAATTTCAATTCTGAGACAAAATATGCTCTACTATAGATTCTGATCTTAAATTAATGAGAATCTAAGTTTAAAGGCTCCAAATTTGATAACCACCTGTTGGTAATAAGTTATAACAATTAACAAATGTACGTAAATTTTCCGAATTAATTCTAAGATATCATCCATAAGGTCATGATCATCATTAGTTTTGAGTTTTTGGTACTGTTCTACAATCTTAAATTTTTTTTCATCTAACCCCTGTTCTGATGCAAGAGTTCATTTACGATAAAACTAATGCCTTATGTATCACCACTACATGACATCACAGTTTTATTACTGTATCATTCCCGTGTCAGGTAACTTTCAACCAAGACTCATTAACGGTATCACTTCGAACAGCAAATAACACGGTTCAACTAAAATATATTCCTGTTCGAACACTAGCGAGTGTATTCTGAACTCATCAAAATACGATAACCTGGCTTCGTAAAATGAAACGCTACTTTTTAAACACAATTGGTCAAGAATTTCACCCAATGACAGCCATTGACAATTACATCGTCAGCAACATATTAAATGTTATATAGCTGACTATGTGATTAGAGAGGTCAGGCTCTGAAAGCTTAATAACTTTAAAGTCCATTCCTTACTAAGTTGAATAGGTAACTATCCACATTGATCAGATATCGAAATCTCAAATGTTGTCCAGTCATTAAAATGCAATTATAATTCCTTTAAATTAGAATTAAAACTCTCTCTTCTTCATTCGAGTGAATACCTTGGTTATAAGTAGCTTAACCTGACAAATATTGGTCACAAATAGACTAATGGGTCACCGACTCCTACACCAAACTACTTCACTGTTAACGAGCAGTGACTATACACATTATATGTTACGTGTGTGTTAATTACACCACAACTTCACAAATGATTATGAAAGTAATGCCAAATGACTAACTAAGTAAATAAAGGACCACAGGGTAATTATAATATTTAAAGTGAATAATTAAAAATGAATTGAAAGATTTAATTAAAGAGTTAATATTATATCCCGAGGAGAATTATGAATGGTAACTTTTGAGGACTATTTATGGACCAATACGATACGTATATTTCCCATTATATAATTGTAGAGTAACTGAACTATTCAATTTCCCTTCCAAAGTTGCCCACACCTTGGGACTGTATTTCTTCCCGAGAGACCTAAAAAAGAAGCTGATAAGCGGCGATCTTGGAGACCTGGGAGCGTGGTCGCAGAGTCCAAAGAACAACTGATTGACGTCGGTTGCGAACGGCCTTTTTATGAGGAGTTTTTGATGTGCTAGCTCCGCAATTCAAAAGGCCTTACTGCAGGGAACGGAAATCCGTGAAGTGGGGGTGAGGTCAGAAATTTTTAGGGCCGTCGTTCCCTAACCCTTTCTTTCCGTTGTCAGAGGGCAGAATCTCTGCAGATGGTGGTTGTCTGATAGAAACACCTCACTGCCATCACAGCCCTCTACAGTTAGAAGTATGACTTCGCCCTCAACTCTGAAGTTGCTCTTTTTAGTCTAACCGTTCTTCATCTAACTTGCCTGGCACGGTAGGACCTAAAGGGACATATTTTCCAGACAGAACAGTTCGACTGAGTCATCATGATCGACAAGCTCGACCACCACGTCAAGCTAGCAGCTACAGTTGAATATATATATATATATATATATATATATATATATATATATAGCTCACAGCATATTGATATGTTGAATCAGGTTTTAGTGTACCTGAATCTTACTTCATTTAAATCCTATGAATAATTACTAACGAGTGATTGTCAAAATACCCATGTCGCCAATTATATCCGAGGATTGGTGAGGACAGTACAGAAGCGATATGGAAACGCTTAAATTGTTTTATTATATCGATACTTTGTTCTCGTGTCAACTCTTCGTATTTATCTATTCGATGGATCGTTCCATTATCATTATAGCAATCATATTCTCTTTATTACATTATTGTCATTTCATAACCGAATGTGGAATTATTGTTGCTATTCGTGTTGACACTAAATTATGACATTTACACAAACGTATCACGTCTAGCTCACCACTTTAGTGGCACTGGGATATCTGACTCCTGTTCGATCGTATTATGACTGTTATTGTTTTTTATATATCGTCAATCCTCGAATATTCTATCGACTTGAATCACGTTGGTGAATAATGGAATTAAAATAAGCCAAATAGGAGAATTAAGTTTTGAATATGTATATTTTGTACAATCATTGATCAGAACAGACAATCAGGAGATGGAGACAAGGAAGCAAAGAAGAGTTGGCACTCATGTTTTCTCCAGTGCGTGTCAATCCGTTTCACTTCTTTCTCTTCTTCGCCTCCCTGTCTCCATCTCTCTGATTGTCTGTTCTGATCAATGATTGTACAAAATATACGTATTCAAAACTTCATTCTCCTATTTGACTTATTTTAATTCCATTATTCACCAACGTGATTCAAGTCGATAGAATATTCGAGGATTGACGATATATAAAAAACAATAACAGTCATAATACGATCGAACAGGAGTCAAATATTCCAGGGCCACTAAAAAGGATCATTTAAATGCTTCTTTTATAACATTTTAAAGAGTATCCCTATTTTGTTTTCATGTATTTAGATGTTTGACATTAACCTAGAAAATGTACTTTTATTATTATTTTTTCTTTTATGATCTATAAACAATCAATTTTCAATTTCACCTGTTAGTTGTTTTTTATTCATACACTTATGTACAAAATTTCGACTTTTGCTTGGCCTGACAACTAATGAATTAATAGTATTTAAATCAATAAATACTGTTAGAAACTAAATAAAATTGTACAGTAACAGAGTAACATACAGCAGAAATTACTAGTGATCGATACATAAAAGTAACCTAATAATCTAATAGACGATAATTTGAATTCAATAGTGACATTATACCATTTAAGGTAATGTGTAGACCATATTCAATACAATTTGACCAGTGATATATGTAGTTCTTTCAATTGTAATTTTTATCAGACGTTTTTTTCGCTTTTACTTATTTATTTAAACACAAATGTTGGTACAAAGGAGCACCAGATATATACGCGCCACACAAATCTAATTTCATTTGTGTGAGGGCTGTGGTGCTGCCCAGGTGAACAAACTGAAGTAGGTGGTTTTCTTATGGGGCCACACCCCGAGCCTTTGGCATAAATATCTTATCTGCAAGGCAGTGGAACATCGCGAGTAGATGTAGTCCCATGGTAGCCGATGACCAACGATTGATTCATACTCCATTTGTTCCCTCAGGATACTGGAGCCAGCCCATGTGCACCATTGGTTTGGAATCAGGGTTTTCCAACTCTCGTAGGTGGACTTTCCGTATCCACCAACCCGGTTAAAATGCCGGATATTCGCTTTTTGTCCTCTCAATTTCATAAACAGCACCCAAGCCACGCTACGTTGTAGCTGACTGACTGAATTACCAACGCCGCGAGAAGGCAGTGAGTTGGACTTCTCTGGCAGAGGCTGTATACGCGTGGCCATGTGAGGGCATTTGGAGAGGGGGAGCGGACTCTTCCCACTCTCGACCGTACCAGGGCATTTGGGGGCTACTTTTGCTTATAGTATTTATGATTCATTATTATGTTCGATGTATATGCACAGTTGTACTGTGGTGTATGCTATTTATGTTGTCAGATATAAGTAGTATGTAGCAACAATTGGAAGTGGAATGCCTGAAAGCCGAAGATTAAGATTGGAATGAAAACTGAAAGTAATCAAGATAACAGCAGTTATGAAGGAACAGTGAAGTTTGTACGAAACAAT